CGGGGGCGCGCCCCCCGCCCGCCCCGGGCGCTGACCGGCGGGGCCCTGCCTTTCCCTGACGTTTTTCTCGTTATTTTCGTTTTTAGAAGGAAAACCGGAGCCTCCCGCTGCTCTCCGAGCCGGCCCGGCTCCTCGGGACAGAGCCCGCTCCGCCGCTTCTCCTCTGCCGTCTCCGGAGGGGGCTGACGGGGGCTCTTCTTCCCTAGATGCGGCCGCGGCGGCGCCCATGAGGATGGAGGCCCGGGACGCGGCGCGGGCCAACCACGGCTCCGTCTTCAAGGCCTTTCCCCTGCCCGCCCGAGCCGGCCCCCGGGATCCGCTCTCCCAGCCCGACGGCAAGGTGCGGAGGCCGCCTGATCCGCCCTCCCCAGGTCGCTGCGGCGGGCGGGCTTCCCCCCGCCCGCCGTCGCGGGGGACGGACGTGGGTTTCGGGGCTTCTCCTGCTGCCTTTTCCCCTTCCCGTGGCTCCCCGCGGGGCGGAGGCGCCCGTGGGCAGGGTCTCTCCCCGCAGCACCCCCAGAGCCTTGAGTTAAAACCCGCCGGGGCGTTTTGACGGCCCCATCTCGCTCACGCCCGATGCTTCCGCGTTGCGAGGGCCCCGCTTGCGCCGTTAGATCCCGGCGTAAAACCGAAACCACGCGTGGAATCTGCCTGCGGATGGTAAACCCCCGCCTGGGCCTGCTCGGCTCACGGCCTCGGCAAGCGCCCGCGCGTATCCTGACGCCGCGGTCGCGTCCCGAGGAGTCGGCAGCGGAGCTGCGGGGCTGCTGTTTTGCCCTGTGACGAGATGAAAACGGCGTTTGGTTATTTTTTTTCATTAAAACTGCCCTCGCGCCGGCAGAGCGGGTTTTAGGAGGGGACGGGAGAGCGAGTGACGCTTCGGCTGCGTTGTCACACCACCGCTGGCGTGTTGTTACACCACCCTGCGTCCGTAATTACTAATTGATAACGATGTGATTGGGGAGGAGCTGTAACTTTTCACCCCCCCCCCCCCCCCCCCCCCCCCGTGCTTTTATCACACCGGGGGTTTAAGATCGAGCTCGGCTTTCTTCTAATAAAAAGCTGCGATCTTTCCGCACAGTTTTTACCCAACAAGATCAGCGGTTTCGCTTGCCCCGCTGGAAACGCATCCTGCGCTCTCAATTACAGCCCAGGTAAGACGTCGTTTTCTGCCCTGGAGCGTCAGTTTGTTGGCTGTTCCCTTCCCCCAGCAGCGGGGGGGAGGAAGATTTGGCTCTTTACTGACCGCTGCCGTGTTTCTTCCCTGCAGAAATCCCCTGCCCCGAGAGCTACCGGGCAGCGGGGGAGCCCCGAGCCTTTGGCTCCAGCGCCAACGGGCAGTGGCGGGGCTTGGTTCCCCCTCTGGGCTCCGCGCCGCAGAAGCCGAGGGTGAGCCGAGGCTCTTACCTCGAAGCTCGCAAAAACCCCAGGTGCGTACGGCTCCCCTCCGCGTTTAACCTTCCCCGCAGAGCCCTGCGGGAGCTTCGCGCGGGGATTTTACCCGTAGAAACCATCGATACAGAGCGAATTCAGGGTGGAAACAGCGGCGTGGGTCGAGGTTGGCCGGGTCCGTAGGTGCCTTTCGGTGTTTATAAACCTCCCTGTGGCGAAGATGCTTCGTAAAGGGCGCGAGCGCTGGGTTTGAGAGGGTACAGCGTGGCGTAACCTGCCTCTCGCGGGAGGTAGTGGGGTAACGGGTCGGTTTTGAGCGTATGGGGAGCGCTGGGAGGAGAGCGGGAGGGTCGTTACGCCGCTGGGAAATTGGGGGAGGAATAGCAATCGTCGTTTTGCGATGAAAACGTGCTGGGTAGCGCACGCGGTGCTGGGCGCAGGAGCTGGTTTTGCAGCTGGTATAAACTCGTGCTGCTTCAGTGCTTTCCGGACCAGGTCAAGTCTTTATGGCTCCTGAAAATCCCCGCGGTGGCCAACGTTTGTCTGCAAATAGGGAAAACTTAATTTCCAGGGGAGAAATGCCAAATCGCCCCGCGTATTTTCTTCCTGGGCTCTTGGGTGAGCCCGAGTGGGGAGAAGCGAGGCGAGGGAGGGCACCTGCTGGTATCGATAAATAAAAACGCGGCGAGCGGTGTCTCCAGGCGAGGTTCAGCCATTTTGTGGTGCCTGGATGGAAGCGGGAGCGGGTGGATCTGGCGGGAAGGTCTGGCCGGGTGTTCCCGGGCTGTGGCTCCTCGGCCTCGCAGTGCCACCTGGTGGCATCTGTTTGGCCGCACAGGCCTCGGGAATGGTTTCGGATCAAGCTGATGGAGAGCGCCAGCCTTCGGCGTTGAGATGTCTCCTAAAACGCACGTAAAATACCAATTTCTGATCGTGGTTGGGTAGCCTGGCTGTTGGCTGGGTTTTGGGGATGAGGGAGAATGAGGTTAGGGATTAAAACAAGCAGAAAGTCAAATAAAAGCGTTTCTTTCTCTCCTCGCAGTGGGACGTCCAACAGTTTTGTAGGAAAATCAAACCACCATTGCCATGCATCAGCTTTTCCGATCAAACCCGCTCAGAGTCCTTCCTGGAGCGGTCCCTGTCGCCGCAGCCTGCTTAGCCCCAAGAAAACTCCCCGGCGGTTCATCAGCACGGCGGAAGAGGTAAAGAAAAGGTTGGGAGATGGTGGAGTGGGTGGGTATTTCTGAGGAGATCTCTTTTGGGCACCGTGAAGTGCTTGAGGCGGCTCTAACCCACTGTTTTGTGCTGGATTCGCTCCTTCTGCCGGGCAGAAGCTGGCTTCGGCTCTGCTCGCGTTCAGACTTCAGCCGCGGTTGGGCTGATCAAGGCTGATGGTTGAACTTTTCGAGACCCCGGGATGTGCTTTCACCAATAAAATTCCACTTCCACGTGTTTCTGATCGCTGTTCACAGTGTCTTTGTTGAAATCCTATTGACTAGACATATCTGGTTGTTTCCCGGCAGACTGTTCGAGAGGAAGAGCGAGAGATCTACAGGCAGTTGCTTCAGATGGTCACAGGAAAACAATTTTCCACGTCCAAACCCTCTTCGCTATTCCCCTTCCACCTGTGAGTATGTAAAACGCTCTCCCCCAGCCGACAGCGCCACATGTATTCGCTGGGAACTTACTTTCTGTTCTTCCTAGGTCCAGGTGTTCAAATTCCAGCAAAACTGTAGTGAAAGAAACCCCCAGCAAGAACTCAAAGCTGTTTGAAGCTCACAGCGTTGCACCAGCCAGTTCGGCAACCAGCATCCTCGCAGCGCAGGAGCAGCCGTCCCACAAACCGTCGCTCTACTCCACCCCCAGCTATCCCTCCAATATCTTTGAGTCCGGTAACTCCACAGCCCAGCATCAGCAAGAAAATCTACCAGCATCTAACACGCAGTCTGAAGGTAAAAAAAAAACAAACCAAAACCCAACCAAACAAAAAACAAACCCAAAACAACCCCCCAAAACCTGGCAATTGACTTAAATGTATGTGACAAACCCACTTTTTCCCTCCCGCTCTGTATTTGGGCTCCTGCAGCCGTTGTGGAATGGGGTAGTAATCGTGAGGTTAACAACGTTCCATAAACTTTATTCTCTTTAGGATCAGACTCTGTCATTTTGCTGAAAGTAAAGGATTCCAGAACCCCAGCACCGAGGTAAGAGGCTGTAAAACGGTATCTGGAGGGAGGGGTGGATTACATGAGCTTCTTTTAATTCCACGGAGAGGTGAGAATGCAGAGTAGAAGGTGACCGGTGGCTTTCTGAATGTCTCGCGAAGAGAGCGAGGTTTGCTGTAGATACAGGAACTTGAGTGTGATGCATCAAACCTCTTTCTCGAGACCTGGCTGCAAATCGCTGGCAGATCTGTCCGTAGCCCTTACTATCGCTGTAGTAGTAAGGATGTCCTCAGATAATACTTACAAATCGCTTTTCAGGCAATTACTTACTCTCGAAGTGAAGGAGACCGCTTACACCTCTCCTTTCTCCCCCTTTCTAGCCTCCCGTTCTTCCAGGCAGAACTGTGGATCAAAGAACTGTAAGTACATGGCTTTTTTGCTCTTTTTTTTTTTTTCCTGTCGTGAGTGTTCACGTGTAGAAATAAACACTGATTTGTTCGCATAAACTGCGCTTTTCAGAACCAGCGTCTACGATTCACGAGCTCGGGAGAGGTGGCGGCAAATCGAAGAGCAGAAAGCGCTGGCCTTGCAGCTGCAAAGCCAGGTAACGGAGAGCGGTTACGGAAAGAGCGGTCTTTGCAAGTCCAAATGTTAAACCACAGAATAGAAGGCAAACTGGAAATGAAAAAATGATAAAAATCGACTCCTTTGGGGGCTGGTGTCTTCGTTGCTTCCCCTTCCCATGGCAGGGCTCTGGGTAGCGTCGTGGCCAGGGTAAACGCTCCCCCTCCGTGCCCCCTTCCGCATCTCCTGGAACAATTGGCCCCATGTAGCTCCCTCGCAGCTCCGCAGAGGTGGCTCCCTCGGACGCCAGCTAATCCGAAGGTCTCTTCTTCAGCGGTTGCAGGAACAGGAACACTCCGTGCAGGATCTGGTGGATTTAAATCTTCGAGTCCCCCTTGAGAAGGAGATCCCTGTCACGGTGGTCCCCGAAGAGAAGGAGGATGCTAAATCAGCAGACGGCGAAGAGGAGTTCCCCGAAATCACCGAGGTAAGTCTGCTTGGATCTGGTGTATGCAAGCAGACGCTTATGTGCATAAAAGATCTAAATATTAAGGTGATTTCCTGAAATCTAGGCATAGAGACAGATAGCTGTTCCCTTTTGCCATGGACGTTTTGTAGCGAGTTTCTCCTTCAAGGAGCAAAGACTAAACCTGGGTTTGAATCCAGCCTTTGTGACGGGAGTAGCAGGAACTCTCCCTTCCAACGCCGTCTCTGTCCTTCCCGTAGGAAATGGAAAAGGAAATAAAGAACGTATTCCGAGGTGGGAACCAGGACGAGGTCCTCAGTGAAGCTTTTCGGTTAACGATCACTCGGAAAGACATTCAGACCCTCAATAATCTCAACTGGCTCAACGATGAGGTGAGGAGTCTGCCTTGGGCCGTTAAGACGTTTTTCTTCATCACTTTGAAGTAGGTTGAAGGAAACAGAGGTATCTGCCTTCTCCGTGCTGACAGAAGTCGGAGTGAATAGTAGGTGCGGGCTGCGCTTCACGCTCTGGAGCAGTTACTCTGTGGAGAAAGCCCTGTGTAGACCAGGCACTTGAAGAAATCATAATATTGGGAGGAGGGGGAGTGACTGTGGACACGATCAGGGGGAAAAAAAAGTGAATCTTAACTATAGAAGACTGCATTCCTAAATCTTTCTGGATTTTTGAAGGTTTTAAGGCTGTTGAGCTATCGTAAACCCCCCCAGGGACAGGTCTTCAGAGCAACAGGTGGAGGCAAAACCAATTTCTCACCTAACTTTGCACAGGGGCAGAGCACCTTATGCGGAAGTGTCAACGCTCTAACGTGTCCTGAATGCTTTGTCTTTCCCAGATAATCAATTTCTACATGAATTTGCTGATGGAGCGGAGCAAAGAGAAGGGTTTGCCGGCGGTTCATGCATTCAATACTTTCTTTTTTACCAAATTAAAAACGGCGGGGGACCAAGCCGTGAAACGGTGGACTAAAAAAGTGGATGTCTTCTCTGTGGATCTCCTCTTGGTGCCTATTCATCTGGGAGTGCATTGGTGCCTAGCAGTGAGTGCTTTAGTTACTCACCGTAGAGCGTAGCTGGAGCAGGTCCTCCTATAAACTCGCCTGTGACCGAGGCTAAAATTTCACAGCTCTTGAGCGATGCGGTTTGTGCGTGGGGCGGGGAGTTTGTGCCTGTGGCTAAAATCAAAGTCTAGAGCGAGTAAAAAGATAGCTGTGACTTTTTGGTGGGTTTTTAGCCTTTAAAGAAAAAAAGAGAGAGCTGTGAAGGTCACGTTAGGCTAGCTTATTCTCCGGAGAAAGATCTCGTTTCCACGTTCCCACAAACTCGCCTTTAGAGACGTTGCCACGGGGTCGTTTCAGAGAGATTTAGATGACAGATAGCGCACAGCTTTCCCTGCCTCCCGCCCCTGGTTTGTTCCCTCCCTTCTCTCGGCTGCTGGCACCCGTGCGGTAACGGATCGCGCGTGGCTTTTCAGCCTGTGTCAGCCTCCTTCGGTCAAACCTCCTCAGAGGGTTTTTAAGCTGCCTGGAAAGGCGACGCTCATGCGGGTGAGCGGTGGTGTGGAAATGGGGCGTCGGGCCCCCAAAAAACTCCCCCGGGGGGACTTGGGTACATACTGAGCGATCCAAGACGCATCAGGTGGAGCAAAACCTTTGTAAACCTGTCTGTCTGCAGCTCTAACAATGAGGATAACAGAGCACTCTTGTGTTTTACCGAGGAGAGCCTGATTTCGAGATTCAAGTGCTTAAATAACACAGCAGCAAGGGGGGATTTTGGGGGAGGGCTGTACCAAGGATGTTAAAAGTCCTCGGAAATCCTTCTCTGCTGTGAAATGGTCTAAACACGCTTCTTCCTAGCGGCAGAGCGTGTGTCCTGGCAAAGAGATGAGCTCCTTGTGTTGTGCGTTATTAACGAATCTCTCTTTGTGTAGGTTGTAGACTTCAGGAAAAAAACCATCACCTATTATGACTCCATGGGTGGAATAAACAGCGAAGCCTGCAGGATACTGTTGTGAGTAACATTTATTTGAGTTGTGCCCGTTTAAAAATCGGACAGCTTCTGATCTCGCTCTGGAAGCGACAACCCTTCCGCGGGGACGGTCCCTTTCTGGGTCCTGAAAGGAAGACTCAGAGGAACGTCCTGGTTTTCACGCTTCGTGTTTCACTGCGCGTCGTTGACGCGGTCCGCAGTTACAAAGCTGGTCTGCGAGAGAGTCCTGTGCCGATTCCCTGTCTTCACCTCTTCCCGGAAGATCGGTCAGCGAGGCTGGTGGTGCCGTTGTGGGTGTAGTCAGGTTTCAGACCCGTTCCGTTAAGGACATCAGGCTTTACCAGTCTTGGAGAGTTTTGGGCATCATCTTTAGGAGGAAAACAGCTCCTCGGACCCGGAGGGGTAGGGGTCCTTCCCTTGTCCTGCAGCCGCTTGAAGAACCGGCCTCTCCTGGCCCCTTCCTCCAGGTGGGAGCTTTTCCCGCCTGTGGCAAAGATCAGCTCAGTAGCTTGGCCCTGGGTTTCAAGAAGGAGATTCTGGAGAGCGCGATGGTACGCGCAGGGCGCGGGAGCGTCTCTTGCATCAGGCCGCGGATGAAGGTTCGCATGGGTCTCTTCTGTGCTGAGTTCCAGCGGGGCGTTACGCGCCGGGCCGTGCCTCCGAACCAGAGCTGGCTGAAAGTTGTTCTTCCTGGGTTCAAACTGCAGAGCAACTCTTCCTTTTCCCACCCTGAGCGATGCTCCAGGAGGGAGCGGAGCTGGCTGCCTACTCTCCGAGCTCTTGTAGAAGAGAGATGCTTCCATGTCAAATCCAGAACTGTTTTCCCATATTTGGAAGCCGCTCCTGAATGGAGCGCGATTAAAAATGAGCTCAATTCTGGGCAGGGGTGAAAACCCCCCTCTTTTCGAAGGTCCCCAGTCACGTAGGGCCGTCAGGCTTGATACAAATCAGGTTGCAAAGTGATTTGCGAAACGCAGTTGCCAGCTCCTCTGTCGCTCCGCCGCTGACCCGGGGTCGGCCGTCGGTTCTGTTTCTCATCTCGGCTTCGCTCCGACGCTGACTTGGGAATCTGATCCCGAGTCTTCTGGCGTGAGGTTGAGTGTGTCAGCGGAGGCGTCACTCATTCAGTCAAGGCATGTGAAGAACGATAAAGACGGACAGCAGACAAATGCCATTTCCAGTCCGTTTAGTACCTTAGTTTTCCAGTTCAGGTGCTTTGCGTTCTGCGTGCAATGGGTTCATTTAAACAACTGTAAAAAGAGCTGTTGCCCTTTTCCACGCTGTTCTGTGATGTTGGCCTAAAGGGAGGAAAGGGAAAGGAAAAGTATAAAATCTTTGGAAATGGCTCAGGGCAGCGTCTCTTCGTTTCGCTGCGTGGCTTGTGCCTCTCTGCGTTCGGGAACGGTGCAAGCAGAGCTGGCCTGCCTCGGGGCAGGGATGGTCTGGGTGAAATCGGTTCCTTTCAGCCTGAATTTCTTTGATTCCGAGGAAAAAGGCGCGGACGTCTGGTGAAATGAAACACCTGGGAGGTGAGAGGGGGACTCGGGAGTCCTGCCCGTGCTTCCTTTAGGGGTCTGGGATGAGGAAGCAGGTCCCCAAACTGGTAGTAGAGAGTACCAGAGGATACAAGGTGTTTCGGCCGCGCAGGGTGAGTGGTAGAGAGCCGGGATTTCAGGTCGCTGTTGCCCTGGACGTAATTGTTTTCCCTCTGTTTCCTTTTAGGAGGCTTTTATTGGTTGAATGCAGTGGGAGGATCACACCGGGAAGAAGGGACGGAGGTCCTATTCATGGTTAGTGACCCTTTCATGCTTTCAATCTTTAGAGCTTCCTAAAGGTGGTGAGTGTCGTGCCGTTAGCCAGGCTTTACGGAGGAGGGAAACTGAGGCGCAGGGAAGGTAACTGATTAAACACGAGGGCCGCTGGCTGGGCTAGGAGTGAGGAGGGACCACAGACATTCATGGTTCGGTGGCGGCCGTGCTTTGTTTCAGCACCTGGGCTCTCGCACAGCTCGGGTGTGAGGCCTGGAGAGGGTTTGAAGAAAGCTGCCTCTGTTTTTTATGGGGTTTCTCCTTGGGAACATGGTGCTCAGTACCTCAGCTCGGCTGGACGGGTCTGTGTTTTGGAGCAGACATAACCCAACCTGTTAAAATTAGTTAAAAACTTGATTCTAGTGTACCAAGGCTGGAGGAAAGCTTAGGGGGTAGAGTGCACGACGCGACTCGTGCCTGTGAAATCTTCTTATCTCCTGCTAGCAGCAGCGCTTGAAACGCTCACCTTTACACGCCCTTTCCTTCAAGGCTTTCAGATATTTAGCAGTATGCTGCGGAGCTGATTTCAACAATTCCCTGAGGCACCTGGTCAGGTTTTTGTGTGTGTGCGTAAGCTCCGTAGAAGGCAAAAATCCGTTTTCAGATTTAGGAAAAGGAGATTAAAAGCCTGCTGTATGTGACGGGGCATCTCGGGCATGTTGAGTTTTGATTCGGCGTGTAATTCCGCGTCAAGCTTTTTCTCCTTCAGGTCCTGACAAAGTTCATCAATTAAGTTCTGCCTCCCGAAGTTGTCTCGCGATTTGAAGGCATTTCAGGTGGTTCAGGCTGTTACCCAGGCAGGACGGGTGCTGTGTTTCTTATTCGACGGGTCTGACGTTCGCTGATCTCCGGGTGCAGGCTAGATTGCCAGAGGCTGCTTGTAGGAAACCACACAGGTGATGGTCACAGTTCACGTGAACTGTGCGTAGCGAGTTATTCCCTAGCTCTTCTAGAAGACAACTCAAAAATTTCTTGGCTGCCATGCACGTGTCAGCGTTGCAGCTGCGGCTTGTGGTAGCTGGAGATAAAACTGGATGTGCAGAAGCCACCTGATGGCTTTATCTGCTGAAGCTCCGGCACCATTTAAACTTCACCGGTTTCTTCCCCGTCTGCCAGACGAGTCTCGCGCTCGGATCCTCTCTCCGCCCCCGCTCCGTATGTGCAGACCCGGTCCGTGCGGAGACGTTGCCTGGCGGCTGGTCCCGATTCCTCGTGTGATGCATCCTTTTATTTATCTGCACAGCTTCGCTCCCCGTCTCCAACGTGCAGAACAGAGTGGGCCGTGTGCTGCTGCTCTTTTTTTAGCTGAGGATTCAAGTGGGTTCTGTAGTAGGCAGTAATTGCCAGGATTTTTTTTTTTAATTGCAATTGAAATGAGGCCGTTTAATTAACGTTTTTGCCGTGTTTATATTGTGGTGCAGATAGTCTGCTCCTTTCCTCCAGCCACTGTGCTGGAGGCTCAGCTCACCCTTATTTTGAACGCGTTGCAAGGAGTTTCTTCTCCCTCCATTAGGTTTTTGTTTGGAGGTGAGATACGGAGACTTCTCGTGCTCGGCAAAAGGGTTTTTCTGAGATTTACCCCCTGCTGATCTTGTCTTGTCCAAACCGCAGCCGAGTCAAAGCAGCCAAGCAGGGAGCTTCCCAAAAGCAATTACAGCAGTCGCTGGCAGCCAGCAGACCCTGTGCCGGGGAACCAGGCTGGGAGCGTGCGTCCAGCTAATGAAGGCTGATAGAAAGCGCCTGTCTGGACCTGATTTTTGTCTCGGGGGACTGCCAGGAGGGAGACTCCCCTCCTTGACGCTCTTACATCCAGCCAAACCTATTTCTGGCTATTTTCTAGAGGCACTGGGGCTGTATCTGCGTTCAGAGGTTGCTGGGTGGTTCCGCTGCCGCTTCGAGCGCTTGGTTCAGCGGCCCCTGGGTGTTTCAGGGACTCTTCAGCCCAGGAGAGTTTTCTTTGCGCAGTTCTTTAAAGTTACGATAGAGAAAAGTTCCCTGAGTGGCACCGGGGCAGCAAGTTCGACCCCACATCTTTTGGGCTCATCTGCAGGTGGCATCGCCCCCTTCTCCCATCGCGTCTCAGCGTTTACTAACAGCAAGATGTGATTTAGCCAAGTCTTTGCGGATCAGATTTCCGAAAGATGGCACATCTCCCCGCGTTGGCGGCCAAACCCGCCTCCCTCTCCGTGCCAGCTGCTCTCTTGACCCCTCCATTCGAGCCAGCAGCATCTAATCCCTTGCTTTTCCTTTCCAAACTTTCTGATCACAGCCGCGACGGTGAGAAGGTTCCTCGGGCTTTGAGAAGATGCCAAACGGGAAGGAGATGCTTTCTGTAGATCTTCCTGGTCCTTTTGATAACCAAGATGAGCAGGGCGTGTCTGCAAAGCTGAATGTCACTTAATGACGCCAGCAGCCAACAGAGAGCAGCTTCTTTAGGGCCATTGAGAGTGTCTCGGGCCCAGCGGCTCCTCTCCTCGGGCTCCATCTTGTCCACCTTTATGTCTGTGTCCTTCCTGAGCTCCCCTTTCCGCCTTTCCCAGTGAAGGGAATGGTTTAAGGTGTTCACATCCGCAAAGGAAAACGCGTGGCAGTTGCTTGGGCGTGCTTATGCGTGGTCTTGGTAGAGTTTCTAAAGTTTTTCAAGGAGACAGGAAAAAAAAAAACCCACTTTTCTGTTCTTCCAGTGCTATAATTTAGGCCAAACTGGTGGAAGCCTCTTTGGGCAGAGGAGATGGGCCAGTACCTGTGAGCTTTCCTTGTTCTCCGGTTCTAGGAACTGGAACGGGACTGGCTGTGCAGCTCTTCTCCCTCCGCTGAAGGTATTTGACGTTGCACACCGGCCGCGGCTGCCTCCTTCTCCCTCTTGTGCTCCCCGCTTGACTCAATCCCTGTAAGAGCATCTCGGAGAGGACGGTGGTCTGGCTTTTCCCAGGGCTACCTCCCCTCCAGCCCCAACCCTTGGGCCTTATTTGAGAAAATCAGGGTCATCTTTCCTAGTTGGCCTCTCCCTGAAAGCAGTTGCCATCTGCGGTAAGAAGAAATCAGATCAAGAGTGGAAGGGAAACCTGGGAGAAGAGCTCCAGCAGAACCTCTGCCAGCGAGCTGAACCCACCATCAGCCTGGCGAGGAGCTTTGTGGTGGTTTTTTGATGCTTTACACACAGGGCGATTGTTCCAAAGCTGCTGGGATGCTGTTAAGGTTGTGACAAATTTGCTCCCCTCTACCTTTATGCAAAGTAAGAGCCTCAAAAGACAAGAGGCACGGGTTCACAGCACGCCGTCAGTTCAGCTCTCCAGTCTCCCCTCGACTGTGACGCTCCGCTCGCAGGAGCCTGTTGGGGCAGCCCCGTGGCTGCTGAGCTTTTCTCTGCCGTGAGTCACTCTCCGATGAATTAGATGTGTTCTCGCTGGTTTATTTGTGGTTTTGACTCTCTGCTTGGCAGGTACTTTTTTTGGATGAGTTTTTAAGTTCTGCTTGGTCCTTCTTTGGACTGCCTCAAAGCCCGGGTCTATAGAGCCCTTTTGAAAATGGCCAATACTGAGACGAAAATATTGGACTTCCATTTTGCATTAATTCTACAAACACGGCAGAGGACATCTTAGGTAAACTGACATATGGTGTACTGGCTGGTTTCCCCCGCTCCTCTAAGTAAGCTTTCTTTGTTCTTTTATTCCTACAGGCAATACTTAAAACAGGAAAGTCTGGACAAGAAAAGGAAAGAGTTCGACACTAACGGCTGGTCGTTGCTGAGTAAGAAGAGTCAGGTAGGTTTGTGCAGGGAGTGGTTTGGAGAAGGGGTCTCTCTCGCTCCTTGCTTTTGGTCTTGGCCCTGATGCGCCTTTCCTGGCTGGTTTTCCCAATGGATGCATTCTCGTGGTGACTCCAGGGGTGAACAAATCCAGTGGCAGGCTGCTTTGCTGCAGATTTGCCACCTAGACCTACGTGGAAGTAGGGAGGTTTTCCTGAGCCAGGGGTGCCCCAGTGCCCCCTTGATTCCTGCCGCCCACCCTCCCGTCCTCATCTCCCCTTACTCGGCGCTGGCATTCACCCATCCGTGCAGACCTGGACCTGAGAGAGGTCCTTCACTTGGAGCTCTTCATCCTTAGAAGCTGGAAAAGTGAGGATTGGCTCCTCTGGAAAGGACGTTTGGTTTTGTCTCCTTTCGTTACAGGAGATCCCGCAGCAGATGAACGGCAGCGACTGCGGGATGTTTGCCTGCAAATACGCCGACTGCATTACCAAAGACAAGCCCATCAACTTCACGCAGGTAAACCCCACCCTGCCGTGCCCCTCGGTTGTGCGTATTCTGATTTTTTCCAAACGCCCTTCGCCTCCTTCTCTGTGGGTTCCAAGTGCCCCCAGCCCGCCTGGGGATCGTACTGCTGCTCCTTGGATAGAGCTGACGCAAGGCGCTGCAGCAGTTCTTTACGCCGTGCGATAATTGGTCCTCTAAAGCCATCTTCTGTGGTGCTCAAATCCATGGAGCACCTCGCCCGTGCAGCTGGGGAAAGCTCACAAACCCATAATGGGACCCGGTTATAATGGTAATGGAAGTGGGGCGTTGCAGCCCGAATCCCAGGGAATTTCAGCGTTACTTAACATTGTCAGCCTCCATGGAATATCCCACGCATGAATATTTTACTTCTAATTATTAGAGAGTATCACCAGAGCTGTGTTATTACCTAGATCTCATCCGCTATCCTGTTTTCAATCATCAGAAAGTAAATTTTCCTCTAAGGAAGGCACCGCTTTTTAGCCGCACCCAGGAGAGCGGCCGCTCGATAAATGGTCCAGCAGCGAAAGACACGCTGACATACGTTTTCTTTCTCTTCTCTCTCTTTCTCCCCTCACCCAAAGCAACACATGCCCTATTTCCGAAAGCGAATGGCCTGGGAAATCCTTCACCGCAAGCTGTTATGATGACGTTGTGCCGAAAGCCGCTTCCTTGCGAGATTGTATCAGAAGTGCCCAGATTTGCCCTGCTCAGCAGCCTGAGCCGCGGCAGGCGCGGACCTGCCCGGGGCTTCAGTCAAAGACAGCGCAAACGAACTCTGCATCATCCTTTTGATAAAACACCCTTCACGGACCAAGGCGCAATAGAAATGTTCAGAAGCACACTTGCCTTTTATTTTTTCCTTCTTTTTTCTTTTTTTGTATTGCAAAACCTATTTTTACAAGCAATTTCAGGTGCTGAGACTTGAGGGGGCAGCTTCCGACGTCCAAGGAACTTGTATTTCTCTGCTTTTTGCAGCTCTTGCTGCCGGTTTTGCCGAGCTGCTGGCGCGACTTTGGGGGGGAAAAGCTGGACTTCAGAGGAGGGGAAGGCACTTAATGGCTCTGGCTGCTTTGCGCACTGGGAGAGCTTGAAGTTGGGTGGGCAAAAACCTCTTTGGGGGTGGATGTAGGGAGGGTTTTCGTGGAGAGGAACGTTTTTGGTGGGTCCTCCACTCCCGTATTATCCCCCCTCGGACCTCAAAGCCAGCATTTTCTCTCCCATCGCAAACTCTGCCCCTTATCACCTAGCCTAAGATGATAAGCTGGGCTTGGGAGAGCCGGGCAGGGGGCTGGAGGCAGGTCGGGCATCCCTCAAGGAGCTGAGGGATCTCTGAAAGTAACTTTTTTGGGGTGTTTTTGTCATTTTTCTGCCCGAGGAATTGGTCTCCCAGTTCTTTAGCATCAACTGTTTACGGAAATTCAGGTACAAATTCAGAGCAGAGCCGATGCACCGTCAAATTGTTTTGTATATATTTCCAAACGTTTTTCCGGAGCGGCAAAGAACAAAGTCTGCGTGCGCGTTGGCTTTTTGTTGGGTTTTTCTTCCCCCCCCCCTTGCCCTGCCTTTGCCTCCTCGCAGGAGCCGAGGCCGCGGCTTCTTGCCACCTTTGTCCCTGCGCTCGGCCCCAGCCGAGCAGAATGAATCGCTCCTCTCTCCCCGTGATATTTTGCACATGTTTCGCCTGGGGACAGAGGCTGACGCGAGGTCAGAGGTTGCGTCGAAGGCAAGGCACCGTAGTCGAGAAGTGCTTCCAAAGGTACCTCCGAGTACGTTCAGCGCCGCGCGGCTCCCGGGAGCCTCGAGGACGAGCCGCGTCCCCATCCGTCACGGGGCGGGAAGAAGTAAAATATTCAGAAGCACTCAAACCCTTCCAAAAATGGGATTTTTGGGGATGCCCCCGTGCTTCTGAACATCTTGCCCCTCCGGGCTCCCTGAACGCCCTCGGATGGGGCCGTGCCCACGCTTTCACCCGGTTTAATTTATTCTCCAGCGCGACGTGGGAGGAAGCGGCGAGCGTTTGACGAGCTTCCCAAGCCGCTGACCCTGCTCCTTTTCTCTCCTGTACATAACCTTTTTAAGTATAAGTAAAGAATGAAATCATGTCCACTTTTTGTATTTTTGTCTCCGGATAGGGAGGGATATTTTATACGTTTTTTTTCTCTACCTGTAAGCAGTAGTTTTGTACAAAATTTCCCCCTTTCGCCCCTTGCTCCCGCCAGGTCGTGTTCTTTGTAGGCTGGTTTGTACCCCTTCCCTCTCCCCTCTGTGTGTTTTATACCGAGTTCATTTACTACCTTTTTCTATCTTTTACCGCAAGTAAAGATCTGAGGAAAAAAAAAAAGAAAAAAAAAAGAAGAATCATGGATCTTTTCTCTTTTTATGCGTCTGTCGCGATTCGTGCTTCAATACAAGTAGGTGCGAGCCCTATCCCTGCAGCAGGAGCCGGCGCCTCGCCCTTCGTGAGCGGGCCCTTGCTCGGGGCGAGGCTATTTTCCGTAATTCACCCTTTCGTTAAAATAAATCGCTCTCGGCAGGCTCGGCCGCTGACGATACGGAGGTCTTTTAGCCCAATTTGGTGGAGGAAGGAGCCAGAGCTGCTGCGAGCTGGAGTTAGAAGGCCTTTACCGTCGCGCGCCGGGTGTTATCGCCTTTGGTTTTGCTGCTTGCTGGAGGTGGTGAGTTGGGAACGGGGATCCTGTCCCAGTAACCTGCTTTAGGGCTTCGTCCCTTCCCACCCCGGGGAAGGAGCTTCCAGCCGCCCCGCTCTCACCAGCAGTTCTGGGCTGAAAGAGCCCCTTACGCTGTCCCAGGAACAAAATCAACGCGTCCCTTGTTTTCCTTGGCTCCCTGCTCCCGAAAAAGCCAGGGAGAAAATGGCCCCGTCAAAGGCGGCTTGTGCCTCGCCCGCGCCGGTGCCCCGAAGAGGCTCGCACCCCCTCCCCGGCTGCGCGGCTCCCAGCCCTCTGCGGCCACCAAAAATGCATTCAGCATTTATTCCTACCCTTCTTTCTGGCTTATTAATAGAATAAATCACATTGCCCAGCCTGCCTGGCCGGCCCAGTCTGGGGATTTTCAGGTCATATTGACTTTTTCCTCCTTCCTGTATCCTTATTCCTAGACATGAGCGAGATTTTTGCCCGATATTTCCAAAGAGCCAGTTATTAGCGTCTCTGACATTCCTCACAAACACACACGTGGCTTCTGTAAATACTCACGTCGCTGTCTCCCACCCCGGGGCTCAATGCTCCATTCATCTGCTCCCAAAGCTGTGCCTAGAAGTCGGGAATTACCTGCCCCGCTCCGCGCTAACGAGCTTTTATAGCTCCCATGCCTCCAGAAGCCCTTACGGCATGATTTGCGTCTCCCCAGGCCTCCGTCTCCCCCTGAGACGGCGTTTGCCGGGGGGCTTCTTGCAAAACCTTGCGGGTGTCGGGGCGGACGCGAGGAGCGGCGCCGCGGGACGGAGAGCCGGTGCTTCTCCGCGTGCTGCTGCTCGCCGCCGGGGAGTTTCGGAGCGATGCTCCCTGATCCCCTTCCGTGCGAGAGCGCGGCGTGCCTCTGCAAACGCAGCGGCCCCGAAACGGCACAGATTATTGCGGAAAAGAATGGGGTTTGTTCCTCTCCTGCAGGCGAGGTGGTCCCTTCGTGCCCCGGGGACCCTTCATCCTTCCCTCCCCCTCTAGGCATCCTTCGGGGTTCCCAAAAAGAGGAAAACCAGAGTTGTATCTGCTGAAAATTCACAGTTGTCCCTTTTTCCTGGCTCCCCTCTGCAGCGGGGCTTGGCGGGACGTCCCCGCACCCTGCTGGTTTCCGCAGCGGGTTCCAGCCTCGCCTCCGGCCGCCGCCGAGCCGCTCCAATATTGACCCGGACCAGGCGGATTCAAACAGGGAGCGAGCCCCTTGCCAAGAGACCGTCGGGATCATCTCGATACGATGCCTCGATGGAGAACTTCTGGCTCCCCGCTCGCTTTAGCGGGTAAACAGATGATCGCCGGCTCTCGGTGTAGAGCGAGGATGGGCCAGGGCCTTCTCTTGGTCCATTGGGCCACCTCGCTCTGGGCTTCCTAGCCTCATCCTTGCCTTCCTGGGTGGAGGAGCTGCTCTCTGTGGAAGATGGAGCCCCGAGCCATGGGGTTCCTCCCAGCACCTCCAACCGCTGCTGCTGCTGGATCCGATCCCCTTTCTGGTGTGTTTTCACCACGGGTGAAGCATCCAGCCCAATACCGAGCTCTGGCTGCAGCCCTTTCGGGGGCTGCTGACCCCAAGTCCCTCGCGGGGACGGTTGGGTGACGTTAGCCATCCAAAGGCCATGCCTGGAGTGGCTCGGTGTCCATATGGATCATGAGGGACCGGGGAGGAGGAATCTTGACGCCCAAGCGCGGGTGCCATGCATCCCCGCGGTCTTCCCATCCCCAGGAGATCCTCACCGAGCCACCCCAGGCATCCCATCGCCCCAAATCCCACCGGCAAAGCGCATCCCTCCCTCCCCGAGCCCAACCAGGCGCAGAAGGTGACACGGTGACAAGCATCGGTCCATCTCCCACCCCCTCGACGCTGAATCCATCACGGCTGCTATGAGAAAAAAAAAAAAAAAAAAAAAAAAACACAAAAAAACAAAAAAGAAGGGAAAAAAGAAAAGCTGTTTGGGGACAAAAATGCCCTTTGTGGGCTGCAGCGAGCGGCCGCGTGTTGCGATTGGCATCCGCATTGTTGGGTAAACTTTGTCCAGCCTCGCTGCCGGCGCTCCGGCGAAATAATTAGGCGAGCTCCTATAAAGCCGAGGCCCAGATTTACGGCGTGTGCGGACACAGACGCCCTTGTGCCGGGCTGGATGTGGGGAGGGGGCACCCCTCTGCCGCGGCCCCCTCGTACCCCGAAACGGGGGGGCAGGTGCCCCAAAACCCCGGGGCAGATGCCCTGGGGGTGCGTCAGAGCGTGAGCCCCCAGAGTGGCTGGGGAGGAGTTTCCATCCAAGCTCTGGGTGGTTTTGGGGTCCCCCCACCCCGATGTGGGGGTGCTCAAGGCTTGGGGGGGGTCGTGGCTCCACTTTGGGTCCAGTTCTTGGCATTTAGGGACCCGGGGGGGGATTAATCCTGCTCTTCCCCTTGTCCCCCCAGCTTTTATTTCCTGGGGCGCTGGGTTCGCTTCGGGGGAAGATTTGGGGCACCCCCTCCCCATCCCCAGCAGCCTGGGACCCCCAAATGCCCCCCCCCACAGCTCAGAGCCGGGCGGGATGCAGGATTCAGCCCGGGCGGCGATGCCGGTGATGCCGGGAGGACCCCGGCCCCGCTGCGGGATGGGGCCAGGCGTGACTCAGTTTCCCCTCTTGCCCCCCCACAGCTGGGGGGGGATGGGACACGGTCCCTCTAGATGCCACTGTCCCCCCCCAAATGCCACCGCCGTGTAATTTTTTGGTCCCCAAACTGGACAACTGGGGGCGGGGGGCTGCACACTCCACGACACTCCTGATCGTAATTTCTCCTAACGACGGGCCCTGCGCA